CCCCTTTTTTTTTTTTGTTCCTTGTCCCCCCCCCCCCCCCATCACAAAGCGTATCCTAATTTTCTGATGCTTGTTTCATGCGAGAGACGATTTATTATTATTATTATTATTATTATTATTATTATTATTTGTATAGATTCCTACGAAGGGATGGATGATGTTTGAGAAGACAAAAAAACAAAGGATGTACGCGTGTTGGTACCGTTATTTTTTTGTATCAGCCGGTGGCACGAAGAACACTTAGTTATTATGTTTCTCTTTTTATAAAAGAGTCTATATTATTTAAAGTTGTGTCCAAAGACGATAGGATTATAATAATTTTTATGAACTTCGATCGATTCGGTGAGCTAGGGAAATTGCATGAATTTTCAAATTCAGCATTGTTCTTCTTCTACGTCGTCCGGGGAGACTGTTGATCGGCCGACTGGGAGAGAGTTAGGATTTAATTTTATTATCCGCTTCTTTTTTTTTTGTTCTGTACTTTCTTCTGTGTAACACGTCGTCGTACCGAAGGATGCATGAAACTCGATAATAAATTCATTGGGGTACGCTTTCGCTTCATTTGATTTTTTCCACCGTTCGTGGTTCTTCTTCCTTGATATATTCTCTTTGTATTATTTATTTATTCGCTGATTCTTCTTCTTTTTTTTTATTTTCTCTTTTCGTTTAACAAAAGTGTCGCATAGGGGAGAGAAAGAGAGAGAGGGAGAGAGAGAGAGAGAGAGAGTTCCATACGCTTTTTAGTTGTTAAGAAAACGCGAAGCGAACACCGGGCTACGGGCTCGAAAAAAAAACTGGAAGTGTTTATTATAATGTTTCACGAAAGCAAATTTAACGGGAACGAGAAACCAACCGTGGAAAAAATGAGATGTGGTTCCTCGTCTCCGTCTCTCTGGTTCATGTAATAACGAATTAACTTAAACGAAGAACAGGTTAAAGCAAGTTTATGGAACGTTGTCGTGTTACTCGTTACGAACTGATGTACGTGCAAAAATAAAGGCCTGCACTTTGTATGATAATTTTAGAGACTTTTATTGTTCTCGACGCGATGATCGCCTATTCCGAACAGTTTTATTTTCTCGACTGAGAATGACATTTGCCCCTTACCCCCGCCGCTGCCGTGACCTATAATAATATATATATATATATTAATATGTATATATATGTTATTATAATTATAGATATATTATAATAATATATTATTACAATATATATTATTTATCATTATTATTATAATATATATTACTTATTATTAGTATTATAATATATATTTATTATTATTATTATTATTATATTATTATATATATATTATTTATTGCTATCATTATTATAATATATCTGTAATGCGATTTTTGGATAATAACGAACGGAAAAGAATGTCTTTATTACGTGAACACATATTAAGATTCACAGCGCGGCTCGAAGAAGTCCGAACGATAATTCTCCGCATTAATTACGGTCTCGGCGAATGATACGAGAATTTATCTCGCGACGGTGATTAGGAGGAACATTGTATCTCGAACGCTCGACCAAAACGGTATAAGATATGCGAACGTACGTCTAATCGTTCGTCCGATGCATCAATCGGCGACGAGATCAGTTCGAGGCTGTGAAATCCCTGCGTGTGATCTCTGTCGGTAAAAGCTATAAACGTTACAATCGAGATAGAACGATTTCTTTTTTTTTTTTAATCGTTGATGGTTGTTGCGCTATTCAAACTTGTGTCGCACACCGGACCGTGGAAGATCGCGAAAGCGTTTCATCAGTGATCCAGATCGTTGGGATCCTCATCCACCGGAGCGTAACATGGCGAACGAGAACGGCTGCGTGCAAACTGGTGAGGATGTCGCGAACTTCGATTCTATGTTTTTTTTTTTAGAAACATTTCGTTTGCCAATGTTAATCGAATTCCAATTTACCGGAGAGCAGTGTTGGCTGATTTTTAAATCGCTCGAATTGCACCGCGGTTGCACCGAGGATTTTTTACTTTCGACGGGAAGTACCGTTTTTAGATTAACTATAGAAAATTTAACTAAAGATTAACTATAAAATATAAGTATAAAATATTTATACTACTCTCCCCTAGAGGAATGGGGGGTGGAGGGAGAAGTATATATATATATATATATATATACTTCTCCCTCCACCCCCCATTCCTCTAGGGGAGAGTAGTATAAATATTTTTTATATATATATATATATATATATATATACTTCTCCCTCCACCCCCCATTCCTCTAGGGGAGAGTAGTATAAATATTTTATACTTAT